AGCCGACAGGGTGGCTCACGAACAGCGCAGCGGTGGCGAACCAGCTGAGCAAGCGCTGTGCCTGTCCGCCCCGCGCTCACCAGCAGCTGCTCGGGAGGAACTCGGGTGGCTATCGGGCGCCGCAGGCGGCGGCCTACCCCGTGGGCCTCGCGAAGGCCTTCTGTCGCGGCGTGCTCCAGCAGATGCAGATCGACTACCGCAGCTCGCTGGTCATGGATGCGGCCTTCCCTGTGGAGGATGCTTTCCCGCACGAGCGTCCGCGATCGCGGACCCCGCCGCGAGGAGAGCCTGTGCCAGAGGAGGCACACCAGGAGGGCCCGCCTCTCGGAGAGGACGCGCCGCCTGCCGAGGCGGCAGCGGAGGCCCCGGAGGCACCGGCCGAGGTGCCCGCGAGGCCCAGGCGCGGCCGGGCGCCTGCTCGACGCGAGCGCGGAGTGCCTCCTGGCGGACGTCCGCTGGGCTTCCGCCGGGGACGACGTACGCAGTACGGCGAGTTCGAGCTGCTGACGGTGGAGCTGTGCGCCGAGCTGGACACGTTCCGGAGTTGGCATGGAAGACTACTGGAGAAGATGGGCGAGGATATCGAGACGATCATCTGGGGCTCGGACCTCTTCCTGGAGGAGCTGGGAGGAGTCATCAGCGAGCCGCTGAAGATGGTGAAGGCTAGACGCGGGGGTCAGCGGCTCCAGACGGCGCAGCCACAGCTGCACGCCGCGGACGCCCCGCTCAGGATGGTCACTACGCTCAAGGGCAACCAGCTCTTCAGGCTGGACTTCGAGGACTGGTCGCAACAGTCACTGCAAGCACGACGGCGCTGGTTGCCACGACACTTACTCGAGAACGACGTGGTGGTCTTCTACTTCGCGGGCTACGAGCGGGGCGACCTGCCCGAGGGGCCGGCTGCAGCACAGCAGCGGGACGCCTCACGGGAGAGGAAGCGACGTTGGGAGCTGTTGCCGAGGGCCGTCAAGAGGGCGATCGAGCGGGTGCACGTGAACCTCGGGCACCCCTCACGGCCGGCGCTGCTCAGGGCGTTGCGCCTGGGCAAGGCGACGGCGGTGGCGCTGAGGGCAGCAAGGTTGTTTGTTTGCGAGAGCTGCCGGCGAGTGCAGCGACCCAGCATCCCACGTCCGAGTCAGCTTCCGAGGGTCGACGAGTTTAACGTGCTGCTCGCGATGGACTGCTTCGAGAATGTCGACAGCGCCGGCAACAACTGGGAGTTCCTTGGCATCATGTGTATGGGGACAAACTTTCACGTGGTTTGCCTGCTGGAGGACACTCACAAGAACCCCAAGGCCTCGGAGGTCAGGAAGTTCTACGAGCTCTGCTGGGTCTCCTGGGCTGGCCAGCCGGAGGAGGCGATCATGGTGGACCGCGCGCGGTCCTTCCTGGGCGAGTTCGCGGACTACCTGGAGCAGGAGGGCGTGCGCCTGGACTCGGCCGCTCTGGCCTCGCCGTGGCACATCGGCAAGATGGAGCGCCACGACGGCATCTGGAACTCGATGCTCAAGAGGGTGGTGCACGACAAGCAGGTGGCGGGCCTTGAGGAGATGAGGACGGCAGTGACGGAGTGCAACAGGGCCAAGAACACGCTGGCCCGGCGGGCTGGTTTCAGCCCCTACCTCTGGGTCCTTGGCCGGGATGTCCGACTCCCAGCGAGCCTCGCAGATGACGCCGAGGTGGAGCGTGTGGGCGAGCAGGTGGCAGCTGCTACGCCAGGCTCACGCTTTGCCCGCAAGGTGGAGATCAGGACCCAGTGCCGGATGGCTTTCATCCAGACCGACACGGAGGATCGACTTCGACGAGCGGAGCTTCGACAGATACGACCTACGAGAGGGCCGTTCGTTGTTGGCCAGTGGGTACTTTTCTACGACCAAGCACAGCCAGTCAAACATCGACCAGAGCATCCAGACAACTGGCGAGGGCTGGCGCGCGTGATCGGACATGAGGGACGGCATGGAGTGTGGCTTGCTTTCCGTGGCCTCACCGTGCTCGCGAGCCCGGAGCACCTGGCTGCAGCGACCGGCCACGAGATCCACGCCTGGAGATCGATTGCACAGGAGCAGGAGTTGGTGCACGACGCGCCCGTCAGTGGCGGCAGCGGCTTCGTGGACTTGCGAGGTCGGCCCAAGCCCCCCGCCGCAGCGGGGCAGGAGCCCGCTGAGCAGGGCGACGAGAGCGGCATGGACGTCGGGCCGCAGGCGGGGGCGCCGGAGGAGCCGCAGCCCGCCCCGGCTCCGCCTGAGCCGGAGGCGCCTCAGGCCCCGCCTGCGGCGGAGGCTCCTCGCGCGGCTCCAGCCGCGCCCGAGCCGCCTGCGGCGCCAGCCCCAGCGGTGGGGGCTGAGAACGTGCCCGTGCCGCCCGACCTGGACTTCGACGCGATGGGGTTCGACGCAGCGATGCAGGACATCATGAGAGATGACGGCGACGATGACTGGCACCCTGACTCCCTGACTCCCACGGGGTGCAGACGGAGCCCGAGCCGGGGGCCTCTCGGCATCGGCGTCCTGGGAGTCTCCTGGAGGAAGAGGAGACTGAGGAGCGCCGCGAGCGGGAGGCCAAGCGACGGCGCCTGCTGGACGACGTCCCTGTCTCGATCCGACAGGGGACGGCAGGATCCAGCCTCTCTGCGCCTGTCGACTCGGCGAAGTTCGTGCTGGACAATGACCTGGAGGAGTTCATGGAGGCCGGCTTTGAGACTTACCAGCAGGGTGAGGCCTTCTTTGTCCAGGAGGGCATTGGCAAGGAGGAGTTCATCTTCGGGCTGATGCGGAATGATTTCGAGCACGCTTTTCTGACGAAGAAGCCTGGTAGGAAGGAGATCAAGCTCGGCAGCTTGCCTGAGGAGCAACGCCGGATGTTCATGGATCGAGGTGGCAGTCGTGATGCAGAGTGGCGATCCTGGCAGGACTTTGATGCGGCTGAGCCGATCCCGCCGGATGAGAGTGAGTCGATCCGCGCGGACAAGGCCAACATCATCATCCCGATGCGCTGGGTGGATACCGACAAGAACGACGGGAAGTATGATGAGGCCGGAGCCCCTCTGCCGCTGCTCGCGAAGAGCCGCCTGGTTGTGGTGGGCTTTCGCGACCGCTTGCTGGGTATGTTCAGGCGAGACGCTCCCACTGCCTCACGGCTGGCGGAGGCGCTGCTCCTGACGCTGGCGGCGGCCATGGGTATGACCCTCTCCCTGGGCGACGTCAAGAACGCCTACTTCAACGGGCAGAACCTGCAGCGCGAGGTCTACCTGGAGCAGCCTCGAGGAGGCCTGCCTGGCCTTGCCGCGGGCCAGTTGCTGAGAGCCCGCAAGGCCATCTACGGCTTTGCGGAGGCAGCAAGGCTATTCTGGTTAGCGCTGCGTGACGCTTTGCTGTCCGACGGCTGGCTTCAGTCGCGCCTAGAGCCGGCGCTCTTCTACAGGCGCATGGACGGGCAGCTGAAAGGCATCGCGGTCTCGCACGTTGACGACGTGCTGGTGGCGAGGATGAAGGACATGCAGCTGTCGGACCTCTTGCCGAAGGTCCTGGGTACGTTCCAGTGGAAGTGGAGCGAGCTGCCCTTCACCTTCCGCGGCCGTGAGCTTTCCAGTGATCCGAGAGGTTTTCTGGTTAAGATGGTGAACTACGCAACTTCCATCAAGCCGATCAAGATCCCAGCAGGACGAAGGAAGCAGTTGCAGGAGGACTTGAACGAGAACGAGGCGAAGGAGCTGCTGAGGGTATCTGGTGAGATCGGCTGGCTAGGTCGACAGTGCCGACTCGACCTGGCCTTCCTCTCAGGCGAGCTGCAGAGGGCCCGAGCGGCCCCGTGCGTGGCGGACCTGGTGAAGGCGAACCTGGCGGTGTCTGAGGCCAAGAAGGGCGCTGAGGTCGCGTTGGTCTACCCGGCCAACCTGAGGCTGTCCAGCGCCGTGATTGGCGCGGCCGTGGACGCAGGCCACGCGAACGGCCCAGAGCACGACGACATCGAGCGCTACAAGAGCTGTGGTGGCCACGTGGTGCTCCTCACGACCGACGGCATCCTGGCCGGACACCAAGCACCAGTGGCAGTGCTGGATTGGAAGAGTGGCATGACGCAGCGCGTGTGCCGCTCAACCTTGGCGGCCGAGGCCACTCACCTGGCCGATGCGGTGGAGGCCGTCGACTGGGCGGCAGTGCTGTTTAGAGAGGCTATGAATGTCTCAGTGGATTTGCTCAACTGGCAGGGGGAGGTGCAGCGGCTTCCTCGCTTTTGGGCAACAGACGCCAAGTCCGTCTACGACCACCTCACGAAGGAGGGCTCGGCTAAGAGCAAGGACAAGAGAATGGCGATCGAGGGTGCCTTGCTCAGAGAGGTACTACGCTGCGAGAACACCCACCTCAGGTGGATTGACGGCTCGCAGAACATTGCAGATGTGCTGACGAAGCTGGGAGTGGACAAGGTCTACATCTACAAAGTACTGCGGGAGGCCAAGTGGAGCCTGGTGCAGGACCCGGCGGCAGCGGCGATCAAGATGAAGAAGAGTATGCAACGTGCCAGCCGCAAGACCGCCATCGACACGAGGAAGACGGAGAAGAGGCAGCAGGACAAACTCGTGAGAGCTAATGAGATGCGGGACATCGCAGATTGAGGTGCCAGGCGGTTTTCGGCGTCTCCTTTTGAGGGCGTGTGAAGATTTCCAGGCTCGCCTCAACCCGCCTATCCCTTTCCTCCTTTGCTCTCCCTCTGCCCCTCTCCCGTGCTCCCGCAACCACTGTGGGCCCAAGCCTGGGGCCCCAGGTTTTACTGCTTCTCGGGCGGCCCGCGCCCGAGATCCGTGGAGCCTGTGCTGGCGCGCTGGCTGGTGCAAAAGGGGCTGCGCTCACACTGATAGCAGCAGGGCAGCAGATCGGTGTTCAAACATATCTACAGGCGGACCCCCGTCCACTCCGCCTCAGATGGGCTCCGCCGGTCCGAGACCTGCAGTCGTCCCGTATGGGACTCTCCTCCAACAGCGTCCATCCCCCTCTCTCCCGTCTACTCCTCGCTTGAGCTGCCCCGCCGAGTAACACTCTCCGCATGGGAACGAGCCGACCATCGGCAGCACTGACGGAGCACCACTCGACTACCTAAGCCTGTGAGAAAGCATCTCCGCCTCCGCCGGGGAAAGAGCTTTCCAGCTTTCCATCTAGTAAAAGTAAGGCTCCACGGCGCTGGTTCGGCCCCGCAGCCGTTAGGCTGCGGGGTGCAAGCGGGGGCTGACCAGCGCCAAACAAGGGTTGACGCGATGCCTTAAAATAAAAAATTCGCACAGCGTGACTTGTGAGCGGCCGAGCTCGGTCGGCCGCCATCCTTGCAGTGGACCCCCGCTCTCGGAAGCCAAAGGAGGAGGGGGAGGAGGGGGAGGGGGAGGAGGGGGAAGGGACGCCTGGAGCCGCTTATGAGCACTGGGCTGCTGGCGTGGCTGAGGGCCCCCTCACTAATATTCAGACTCTCTCCTGAGTGGTTGCCTGGCTTCGTGGACACTGACCGCACGAGAAATTGGTATTCTAGATTGGCGTCGCGCAGACACAGGAGCTTCAGCAGGTGTGAAACTGTGAGCTGCATCTCGGCCTCCTCTGTGCGATTTCACCGTTTAGTTCCTGCAGATATCATGTCTACCATGTGGGACGCCTTCGCTCTGCGAACCGGCTCGGGCTTCAACACCGACTCCAAGCATGCCAATGTTGTGTCGTCGTGAACGTTGTTACCCATACTCGTCATCGCCTCCTGGTGGCAACCGGCCTGGGAGAAGAACTCGAGTATCCGCCGTGCGGCATATGCGATGGTCTCTCCACGGCGCCACCGGACCGACAACTCGAGCGAACCATGCCCGCAAGCGGTCTCCAGGAACAGCACCCCTAGACTCCAACAATCTGCTTGCTTGGGCAAGTACGGCTCCTCCAGCGCCGTCTCTGGAGCGACGCACGGCAGAGATCCGCTCAGGGTATCCCTTGTGCTGGAATTTGGAACGTGGGCTGCCATGCTGAAGTCCACAAGGCGGCAAATGTGCTGATTCCATGCTATCTCTACCGCCACGTGCCTCAAAGACAATTGCCCATGGACGACATCCTGGGCGTGGCAGTAGGAAAGAGCACTCGCGACCTGGGCACTGCAGTTCAAGGCGTCGTCCCTGGACAAGCGGTAGCCTGGTTGAGTCGACAACACTTGCTCCATGCAGACGTCGCCACCATACTGGAGAACCATATAAACATTACACTTGCTGTGCAACATGCTTACGCAACGGATGATGTGTGGGTGGTCAAGGGTGTGAGTCAAGAAACAGAACTCTTTGTATATGTTCTCCACCTCCTTGGCATCGGAAATGCTGCGCTTGTCGTGCACCTTGATCACTACGTTCTCATGCTGCCCGTTCACCGCCAATAACACGTGCTGGTGATTCGGATACGGGCGCACGCGCTGGAAATCCCCGACCCGATTCCCAGATTCCAGCAAGCTCTTGTTCTCAGGCGGGAAACCGGGCATCAGCAGATTCGGGATGGTCGTCCAAACGAGGCCGCGGAAATCGTCCTCAATGAACTGGCACTCGCTTGTTGTCAGGAATTCCCCAGGGTTCAAATCGTTATCATATGCCCGCATGCGCTGCCCGATGACGTCGTTCTCTATGAGCTTCAAACTTAACCTCTTTTGCAGCCCCTCCGGGTCATTTTCCAGCTCCATCAGCACGCCCGTCGCCCCAAAGCTATAGAGCTCGTCCTGTCGCGCCATCAGTGTATTGACGTAGTCCCTGGTCAGCTCGGGATCTAACCTGTCTGGAACCTGCAACAAGAAGACGAGCGCGTCGGGGTGCGCCGTCCCCAGATAGTCCAAGACAATTAGAGCGCCCCTTTTCTCCCGCATCGTCCTGTATACGGACACGATGAACACGACCTCGTGCTGCTCCACTATCCATTTGATGCTTGCCGAACTCACCTCTCCACGATTTTCCCCAGTGGCCAGCACGTTGGCTGGCTTTTCCTGCGAGCTCCATGGCACCAGGGTCAAGAAGCCAAAGGCCGACATGCTTGGAGCGACGCTGGAGACGTATGCTTCCACGACGCTTTGGATCGCACTCGATACTGTCAGCATGTTCAACCAGAACGATTCGTGGTCGGGACACGCGGTGAAACGACGTTTCCGGCCAAATTGCTTGAGGCAAAACGGCCGGAATGAAGTGGTCACGGACAGGAGGAGGAAGGGGGGGGGGAGGAGGAGGAGGAGGAGGAGAGGAGGAGGAGGAGGAGGAGGAGGAGGAGGAGGAGGAGAGCTCCTGGGGCCCCCGCGTCGTGTGTCGAGGCTGGCCTCGGGGGCGGTCTTGGCTGGCTCGGCGGGCCCGCGCGCTGTGCGCGGTCGAGGTCTCTGGGCCAGTTTGGAGTCCCGAAACGGTGCGGTGACGGACCGTGCGGTGACCTCGAAATCCCCCCTGACCTCACCGCACGGTCCGTCACCGCACGGTTTTGGGACCTCGGATGCCCCAATCGCCCGAGACGTCCTCGGAGAACGACCCGAGGCCCAAAACCGTGCAGTGACCCCGAATCCCCACCGACTCACCGCACGGTGTGGTCACCACACCGTGTTGGGGCCCCCGAGCCAGGGCCCTGGACCCCGTTGCCCGGGATATTTGCAAATAGATTTTGCGAATCTTATATGATATACACAGATAAAGAAATACGTACATCATTGGGCGCGCTTCGCGCGCGCTCAGACTCTGGCCAGGCTGGATGGTCGAACTCTTGGGGACCTCAATGGCACGTCTCATCTGGGGCTTCCGAGAGCAACGAAGACGGCCCAAGTGGCTTCCAAGACTGTCTACGGTCCACCCACGACGGCTTAAGACATGCTCAAAGGGCACTTCGGGAGCCCTTTTATTCGCCGCGGCTGGACGTAGCCGGAGGAAGGAGGAGGAGAAAGGGAGGTGAAGGGGTTCCGTGGGGGAGAAGGAGAAGGATCATGAAGAGAAGTTGGAGAGGGTGGAGGAGGCCACAAAGGAGGAGGAACCGGAGGAGGAGGAACCGGAGGAAATATGTTGTTTTCTTGAGCGTAGCGAAGCTGCCAGGCGAACTTTGAACAAAGAAATTTTGAAATACCGGTTTTTCTCAAGTGCCCTCTGGGCTTCTCTCTTTTGGACCTCCTTGGGGCTTCTTGGGGACCTCTTGAAGCCTCCTGGGGGTCTCCTGGGGCGAAGATCTCGGGTTTTCGGTTCACGTCCCCGATCCTGTGCCGCGGTTTGGGCCCTCTCGGGCCGTCTTGGACGTGTCTTCGGCGCGTTTGAAGCCCAATGGGCAACCTTGGGGCGCTTTTGAAGCCTATTGGGCTGTCTTGGGGCGATCCTCGGAGCCTCTTGGGGCGTCGTGCAGCGTCGGGAATCGGAACAGGCGGAAACGCCAAAATTGCTCAAACACCTACGGAAAATACATGTCTCTTGGCCTCTTCGAGCTCTGTTGGGAGACCTCTTGGAAGCCTCTTGGGTATCTTGGAGGTCTCTGAGGCCGCCTGGAGGCCGTCTTGGCGTGTTGGACCATCTAGTGGCCTTCGGCCCATCCCGCCACCGTGCCTGGGTTGTGGGATAGAGGCCTCTTGGAAGTTCGCTTGGAATTCGTGGGAGGCCTCCTGGAGCGCCTCTTGAAGGCAGTTTCGGAAGCCTCTTGCGGGCCTGTGGGGTTCTCTTGGAGTTTTTTGGGGGGCCTCTCTGGGGCCTCTTTTGGGCCTCCGGGGGGCCTCTATTGGGCCTCTTGGGCTCTCTTGGGGGGTTCTTGGGGCTCCTGGGAGCCTCTTGGGGCAGAACGCTTGAATTGTCGGTTCGTGTTCCCCCTCTTGGGCCCATCTTGGGGCCATCTTGGGGCCCTCTTGGACGATCTTGGGCGCCTCTCGGGCCGTCTTGGGGCACTCTTGGGCCGTCTTGGAACTCTCTTGCGCCGTCCTGCTGCCCTCTTTGGATGCCTCTTGGACGATCTTGAACTGAACTCTGCGGCCTCATGGGCTGTCTTGGACCATCGGAAGCACGAAAAAAAAGAACGCGAAAAATTGTCATCGAACACCTGTCGAACATAACTGCTTGTTCCGCCTCCTGAGGGCACCGTGGGAACCCATTTGAAGGTACGTTGGCCGTCTTGATACCCTCCTGGGGTGCCCTCAAGCCATGTTGGACCAATATTGAAACGCTGTTGTGCGGTCTTGGGCTCTCTTGGAGCGCTCTTGGGCCATCCTGGCGCCCTCTTGGACGTCTCTCGGGTCCTCTCGTCGCCCCTCTTCCCCTCCTTTGACGCGTTCTGGCGCTCCCCAACGGGTCCAAAATGGCCAGGTACCGACTTAGTGAACTGCAGGGCCCCGGGATCCCCTTCATTTTCATATATACACATAAATATAGATACATGTGTATATATATACATATATATATATGTATGTATATATATATATACATATATATATATACATATATATATGTATATATATATACAAGACTGCAGTGGCGCTTCGCGCCACTGCACCTTGGTCCTCGAAGATTGGTATGCCGGCGGAAATGGCAGGAAGGTCAAGCGGACAATTTTGCGATCACTCCTTGCTGCCTTTTCTGGCATCGCCGTTAATGTTGCTCGCTATCCCTCCTCCATGCTTATTTTTCCTCATTCTCGCCATACCCTGGGTATTCTCCCCATCCTCCTCAGCTCTTTTTGCGGAGACTCCTCCTTGGAGAGCCTCTGGGGGCCTCACCAAAGTTCTCAAGCTTTCTGAAAGCCTTCTTGAAGCCTCCCGGGCGTGTTCTGGGGGCCTCTGGGGCTTCCTAAGGCCAACCTGCCTCTAACCGCGGTTTCCCTCAACGCCCTGGTCACGATTTAGAATGCTTCGGAGGGTGTCTTGGGGCCATCTTGGGCCGCCACGGGGCTCTCTTAGGGCCATTTTGGACCCCTGGTGTGCCGTTTTGGGGCTCTCTTGGGCTGCCTGGAAGCCCTTTCGGATAGCTGTGGGGCGATTTTGGAGCCTCCCAGGCGACTTCGGACGCCCAGAAGACCGCTGTCCTGGAGCGTCGGGAAGCCGAGAAGAGGAGAACCCGAAATTCACCACAAACCTACATTAAATCGATGAGTATTCCCTCTTGGGGCCTTCTTGGGGGTGCTCTTGGAGGCCTCTTGGTACGTTGTGGAGCGATCTTTCGGGGTATGACGGTTTCTTGGAGCGTTCGTGTGCTGTCTTGGGGTTATCCAGGACGTTTCCGATGACCCCCCTGATCGCCCTAGGTGTGCTGCGCAAGCTTGTAAAAAAAGGAAGAGGAATAGCGCCAGTGCGGTCCCACACGCCAGACAAGTGCATACCAAAAAAAACAAGGACCCGACAAGATCCCACATGAAAAGATCCCAAGGGCTCCCAAGGACTGAGTCTCTTCTTTTTGAAGAGACGATGTAGCGATGGCGGAATCGCAACGACCACCGGCAAAAACGAATGCAGTGCACTGGAGGTCTGGACGCCAGCCCCTACGGGGGACATTAGCTGAATGAAAGGGCAAGCGGGAAGGGACGCTTGAACCGAACGTTGCGGTTCAGCGTCCATCCCCTGCTCTTGTTGCATCACTACGGCCCCCGACGCCAGAAACATGCAAAAGGACCAGGAACCGACGAGACCCCCCGTTAAAAGCTCTCACGGGGTCACAAGGACTGAAGCTCTTCGTCACTTTTTACAGCGACGATGTACCAATGATGGAATCGTAGCGACCACCAACACGAACGAATGCAGTGCACTGGAGGTCTGGACGCCAAATCGTCCACAATTTCCCGAATGGTGAACTGGCCCTCAGGTCGATAACCCTCGCGTTTAAGAATTTATTCGAGGACTCCAACCCCTGGGCAACAGACACCATATGCTTGGCCAAGACCACGCACAACTTCTTGGGATAGGCGGCCGCCAAGGCCGCGCGTTAAGCGGGGGCCCGGGGTCGCGACCATGAAGGGTGACATGCGGGCGTCGAGCGTGACCGCATAGGCCTCCTCGGTCCCCGCACAAAAGTGACAAGTCGTCGCGATAACCAGCCCCCACATAGCCACGGTGGCAGCCTCTCCACTGGGCACCGCAGGCGCACTGATGAAGCGAGGAATTCGACAGTCTTCAGCGCGGAAGGAGAGGGGTGAGAGGCGGCGCGAGCCACCAGATTGACGCGCGGTGGTTCTCGAGACCAAAAGGAACACGGTACCGTCTGCATAATCGAATTATAGTGATGTTAAAATGCAATGACGCGTTCCCGACATAGACCTTCCTCTGGCGCTCGGCGCAGAGGTTCGGCACCCTCGTGGGCTCGGCGGGCGCCCCGAGCACGACCCGGGCGGCGCGGGGCCAAGAATGGCACGGAACCCCCAGAAATACGCAAAACCAAAAAAAACTGTCAAAGGAATCCAACCTTTCACGACTCGCAGGACAGCGCGACGGAGATGGTCCTCTGCGGCGCCACGGGCCCAGTCTAGCGGCAACGCGGCTCCGCCGAGCCGCCAGACGGCCTGCGAGAGGAGCCCGGCAGCCGCTAAAGAGCTCCACGAAGCAGCGCGAGCCCAGCGCCCGCCTATCACGGTTGGGCCGCCTGATCTCTGCCCCGAAGCGGCGGTGGAGATGCCGCGTGACCTCGGCGCCCGAGGCGGTCAGCGAGGCGGCCGCTTGGCTCCCCGGGCAGCACCTCTGGACAGAGGTGCGGGGGGGCCCGTGGCCAACGGCGCCGACGTCGCGGGCCCGCGCGCGATCTGGCTTCGCTGGTCCAGCAGCCCGTAGTGCAGCGCCGCATCCAGGTTGTCTACCACAAACCAGCCGAAGGGCGCTTCCTCTGGATGCGCGAGGTTGAGGAAAGCATGCAACTCGGACTCATTGCTGCACCTGCGGAGCGAGGCCTCGCTCTGCCATCGCCATCGCCTCTGCGCTGCGGCCAGCGGCCTGCGCTGCAAGGCGAGGTCCTCGGAGGCGCCACCGTGCCGCAGCTGACGCAGACTGGGCCGCAGTGGCGCCAGGCCCAGCGGCGAGGCCGCGCCCTCGAACCGAGCCTTGAGGTCGGCGGGGCCGAGGTCGCACAGCAGCGCGTCGGGCGTCAGGGCGCCCGTCAGCGCCGCGAGCGGCCTCGGGGCCCAAGAGGGCCGAGGCCCAGTGGCGCCAACTCGCCCCACGCGTCCGTCTTTCCAGGCTGTAGCGTGGC